AATTCAATATATATAATATATGTATAGTATTTATATCTATTACATATTTTAGGTATGTGAGTATAGTTTACTATTTAATAAATTTTTATTAGAGAATGATGGAAGGGGAAAAAATAAATAAAAAAAGAAAAGAATTAAAAAAAAAGAGGGAAAAGTAATAACAAAATAAGCAAATAAAAGTGAAGTAGGCAAGAGTATTGTGAGAGATTCTTACCATCTTCGTTTGTGCAATTTTTAGGTTCATTTACACTGATATGCTGTTCGTACCAAACAATGGACAAGATAGAATGTGAAAATATCAAACTTTATTATTACGATTTACTAAACGTTAGATAGGATATAACAAAATCTCACGAGTCCTTTCCTGACTAGAAATCTAGACGACCAAACGTAGTGCAGAGTCTAATCGAACTTGCAGACGTGGAATAAGTTGCAAGTGCCCTCGGTAATACGAGGAATCAAATCTTCACATGTGTTTGATTGTCAATTTAAATTCCTAAATTTCACATCAAGGATGATATTAGATGATGAGGTCTGACTCCTGAAATGGTATTCGATCATGAGATCACACTTTCTCAATATAATTTGGTAGAGTTTTCATAATTGGTAAAAATATTATAGAGTTACCCATACTCAAATTCTCGACCCCTCTGTACATTCTCAATATAATTGGCTAAAGTTTCCATAATTGGTAAAAATATTATAGATTTAGCCATACTCAAATTCTCGACCCTTCTATACACAAACAAAGCAGAGATCACACATTCTCAATATAATTTGGTAGAGTTTACATAACTGGTAAAAATATTATAGAGTTACCCATACTCATATTCTCGATCTTCTATACATTAACAAAATGGAGAGACATCTCTTCATTCCTCCTTCCTGTCGCTTCCTCTCTCTCTCTCTCTCTCTCTCTCTCTCTCTCTCTCTCTCTCGCCGACTCAAACACACCCATATTTCAATGGCGGACGGGAACGAGAACGGGAACAAGCAGGAGCCGGAGAAGCGGAGTCTCCTAAACCAGCACACGGAGTCCCACTTCACCTCCGGTGAGATCGTCCGCGACATCATCATTGGCGTCTCCGACGGCCTGACCGTCCCCTTCGCCCTCGCGGCCGGCCTCTCCGGCGCCAACGCCCCCTCCTCCATCGTCCTCACCGCCGGCGTCGCCGAGGTCGTTGCTGGCGCCATCTCCATGGGCCTCGGCGGGTACGTCTACTATGACTCTCCTGCATAAGTGTTCGCCATGTGTGTATGGTGGCGGTATGGTTTGGTGGTGTTGTTTTGTAGTTTATTTTCGTCATATAATCATCTCCAGCAGATTACAGGAGATTTTATATACCATCAGACATCACTTTTGAAGTGCAGATGTGAAACTCAAATGCTGTGTGTTCGCGGACTGTTAAACATCATTCTGCCTTAGAAACAAGGTGACAGTTTTGCAGTCAACCTTTTCCTTAGCAAGATGAGATTCTCTCACGATCATTCTTGTACTCATTTCCATTTCATGTTGTTTTAGGGACTCGTGAAACATGATGTAATGCAGAGAACCATAGCAAATTTTCCTTATTTTCATTGAGCTTGTAGCACGTAAAAGCTACTATAGTACCATTGACCCACTTAGATTACAGTCATCATCAGGTTGTGATAGATTTGGTTGACGTGCATCCGGTACAAGCGAAAGAATAGAAATTGGTTGATTTTCTGAGTTTGCAAAGTCTGCGATTTAAAGCTGATGGGACTGTGAAATTGGTGTATGTCAGGTATCTTGCAGCTAAAAGTGAGGCAGACCACTACACGAGGGAACTCAAAAGGGAGCAGGAAGAGATCATCAGTGTTCCTGATGCTGGTACTCTCCCTTCTCATCACCCATTTACTTTTTTTTTTAACTTTCCTTTCTAATATATGAGCATTTTTTTAAAAATATTTGAATACAACCCGCTCATTTAAATACTCGGTCACGACTTAATCATAGTTTATTTTAATCCAAACATTCCTATTTAGCAAATAATGGTCTTTCTCGATTGGAGTCAATCTTGGATTCATTATGTAAAGTATATAGAAAGAGTGAGAGTGAGATCATTTTCTTTTTTTTGGGTCGTGCAGAAGCGGCTGAGGTGGCAGAGATATTGGCGCAATACGGATTAGAGCCGAATGAATACAGGCCGGTTGTGAATGCGCTGAGGAAGAGGCCCCAAGCCTGGCTCGAGTTCATGATGAAGTAAGTGATGGTCTTTCTAATCACGAACTCTTTTTATTTTATATGCCCCCCTAGATTTGATTTGACCAAATTTACTGATTCAACTGAGGACCCAATGGTGTTTCCCATTAGTCTGGTTAAAAGTAGGAGTCGGGCAAAATCAAAAACTTTGCAGAAACCTTTACAGAATCAAGTAGAAGACATTCAATAGTACAACTATCCTAATCAACTTTGGAGAAAGCGAGAGAGAGAGAGGATTCGCAGACCTTTCCATCTGACAAGTGATAGTGCTTAATCCTTGAGAAAAAGTATGTTCTGCAAGCTGCGATATGTTTCTGAGCATCCTCGCTTAAAGCATTGAGGCAGAACGGGACTTTGCTTCTGTTTCGCCTGCTGCTTTGGGAAGAACCAAAGCATGACAACACTTTTTTTCTTAATATGTTCACGCACAAAATGCTGTTACAGAACAAAACAAGAACAAAAGTTGAACAAGCAGTGCTCTTTAACTCTTCACAGAAAATGTCAAGGGCATGTGGCTTTGGGCCAGAACACGGGCAAAAACCCTAGAATGGCCGCTATTGACACGTGCTTCTTGATGGCGACACCACCACCTCTCTCTTATTTCTTTTAGTTTTGTATCTTTTCAGTCTGGCACACACCTGTTTCTCGTCCAAGTTGCTCGAGCAAACAGATAGTGAGTGAAAACATTTAGGAAACTATAGAGTGGCATATTATATGACACATATGAAGATAGCTCCCGCTTCTTGGATCCTCTTTTTTCAGTAAAGTCTTGCTTTTATGTTCAATAGTTGTTTTCTATTATGCAGTATGATTGCCAATTGCTGTCATTCTAATCTTTCCAAGAATTTATCGTTGTCCATGTGCCTAGGGCCTAAAAAACTAGCGACGTGACGATAAGTTTGCACCAAGCAATGGTGGTGTCTATCAACACCACGTCTATTTTGATTACGTATCTATTGGCTTTCCCTTCATTATTGTGCCAAAAAATGAAAGTGTTGTGAATGCAGGTTTGAGCTGGGATTGGAAAAGCCAGACCCAAGAAGAGCATTACAGAGTGCGCTCACGATTGCAGTAGCTTACGTATTGGGTGGATTGGTGCCTCTTGTTCCTTACATGTTCATCCCAAGAGCCACAGACGCTATGGCCTTATCTGTTGTCCTCACTCTCATTGCTCTGCTCATCTTCGGCTATGTCAAGGGCCATTTTACTGGTAGCAAGCCCTTCCAAAGTGCTCTGCAAACCACATTCATCGGCGCCATTGCCTCCGCGGCCGCTTTTGGCATGGCCAAGGCTGTTCAGGCAAAATAAGTAGGGGTGTTTCGTGTTTGGCCCACATAAGATCCTGCTTCGTGTAATAAGACTCGGTATCTTTGTACCTTTTCTGGATCTGGTGGAACTTGATTGTCTCTTTCTTGAACTCCTGAATATGGTCTTGGTGCATCGTCATTGATCGGCTAGGCATTTTACGGCATGAGCATATTTCTGTCGGCCTTTTCGTATCAAGTTACGTATCCTCGGCTTGCATTTGTGTCGTGTAGAAATGAGATGAAATGAAGTGCAGCTAGAAGGAAATGGAACATGAGGAAAGCAATGAGCACTCTCACGCCTATGCTTGGTACTGACTATGATATGGCGATAGTAGTCAATTTGTGTCCCCTTTTAAGACAAAAAATGACCAAAGCAGAGAAACTTAAGCTTGGAGTTAATAGAGCTCCCTCTCAGATGGGGGTAAAATCAACTGGATATTCCCTCAAAATTTGGTAGTAAAGAGAGGAGGAGAGCAAATTACAATGACAAGCCATTAGCATTCCCTCGTACATGAGAATACAATATTGGGAAATATTAGAAGTGTCAAAATAGGTTGAAAACCCATTTATTATCCCATATATTGGGTCATATATGGGTTAGCTAAATTTTGCTAAATATGTTGATATGGGTTTGAGTAATAAAGTCAAATAAAATGTAGGTTTTTAATGGGTCTAAAGCCCAACCCACCTGCTGTCCTTCTTCACTTGTCTTCAGGTTTAGGTTGGGTGTTTTGGGGTGGGGCAACTTTTTTTTTTTTTAGTTTTATCTTCTACTTATGATCTTCTCTTTTTCAAAATTGAAAAGTAGTAAAGGTTTACTATCTTTCAACCTTTAGAAGACCATGAAAATTAGTATATGATTTTACACGTAAATATTTATTGACTTCTTGATTTTAAGAGATGTCGGTTACTTCATTGTGAAAATTGACAAATTTACAATAAAGAAAATAACACAAACAAGTCGAAAATCTTATTTAGAACCTTATAAAACTACTTATAAAAGTTCTAGTTTTTAAATATGTATTCTAGTAACGAGAGATGAATTGGATATAGGTAGAACACGGATTAGGTTTGGTATGGATCATTGAATTTGCATTGCGTATAAATGGATCAAACATGTTAAATAAATCGATTTCGAACGGACCATTTTTGACTCGATCCAAACCCTAACCCACCATTTGACGGCCTAAGGAATACACATGATCTTCAATTATGATAATCCGTTAAGTGGAACTGACGCAAGATCATGTAGAATCATGATAGGACGTGCAATTTGCTGTGCTCGCATTGTGGTGATCATTCCATATAAACTCAGAACAATCATCATCAGAGCAGATGTAAAACAAGCAAAGAAGTGGACAGTGTGCGTTGAAGTTGGATTTGTTAGGCTAATGGGCTATAATGATGTCATACTTTATAGCCATTTCAAACTCCTGCAACAATGTTGAGAGGAATTGCAATGTACAAAATACTAATAAACCACCGAAAAGGTGGCGTCCATCTGTATTGTGATTCTCTGCAAGTAATTTACAATGTCATTTGAGAAGGTACATAAACATTTTGTGGTTAACCCCACAGGCTGCAAGAAAAAGATCATGTCGAGTTGCCCACCCATATGAACTCTGTCAACAACCAACATGAATGTAACCATCAACAAAGGAACTTCAACGGGAAAATTTCCTGTGTCATATCCAGGATAGAAAACACGGTACCATGACTTTTTTTTTTAATTCAATCAGATTATGTAGTCTCCACTCCGCATTGCAATCGTGGTTAACTGCACTAGCTTCCCAGCATTGCGTGCATTGCCGTGTCTGATTGCTTAAAAGTCGGCAGTTAGAAATTAACTTACATCTTTGCAGGAAAGCTCCATCCAGTGGCAGAGATAGGAGGATGCATTTCCAAGATATGTTATAGCATGCAGAAGAAACCAGAGTAGCCCCTAAAACACTGAAGCTGCAGCTACCCTTCCAAAAGCCAAATGCTCTATGTTGCCTGAAGATTGAGACCGGACTCCGAAGCCAAATATTCCATTTGCTCCGCTAGAAAATCAACATTTGGAGTGTCCTCCCAATCATCTCCATCAACTTCTGACTCAGTCTCAGCTTCCTGAGGGTTCCCCATCTGTCTTATCAAAGCTTCAAAATCATGAGAGACTGAGCTTGCTCCAGGAAATGCTGATTCTGTCTCCATGCCCAAATAATTGGGCCCTTCCTTGTCTTGCCTAATCTCTCCAGCGCTCTCAATAAAAGGACAAGCTAAAAGAAGTTTTTCCCATGCACCATCATCAGGAGAGTCAGGAAATATAAACGGAGTATCCAAAGAGAATTTTTCATTCATAAGAATCGACATAAGATCGTTGTTCATTAAAACATCTCTTGTCCCATCAAAAGAAGGGCCAGATTTTGGTGTTTCCCCCAAATCTGATAATGGGGATAATTCAGGGTTTGTTTTTCCATCAGTTAAAGGCTGGTACTTCACTATTGTTCCCTCAGAAATCAACGTTCCATTTTCTGCTCCTTGTTGTTCTAGCATGTTACCCATTTCGGTCACACGACAGTGCTTTTCTTTTGGCTGGAGCAGCTGAACCAAGAACCCTGGGTTTTGCATCGCCATTACTAAGAATGACAACATCTGCTGCTGATTATTTTCCATTCCCTGAATACGGTCTCTCAAGAGGACCAACTTATTCTCTGAAGTTTCCTGGAGCTGTCTAAGTTTACCTAACTCCAGCGAAAGGGCTTTCTTATCAATCTTCAAATTTTCAACTTCTTTCCAAAGCCCATCTTTTTTTATTTTATCAACTTCAACGGAATTATCCTGCTTCTGCAATGATATCTTCTGATCCACAACATGAACATTCTTCCTCCTGCGTATATTCTTCAACAAATGCTTTTGACCTTTGACGAATTGATCATTTGCAAATTCCCAACGATCTGAATCAACTTTTCTGAAACCCTGGTAGAGATTCAGGACAAAGCCATTAATATCGACTAATAAAAGTTGAAGAAAAGACCCATAATCATTCGCATGCAGTTGCTTATAAGTACGAAGGCAGTTAATAAGCTCTCTCCTCATATGTATTACTTGTATTAGCCTTGTTTAAAATACGACCACAAGTATAATTGTAACTAATCGCAGCAGTTAGGACATCAACACCATGAGAAACAAAATTAGCATCCAGAAGTATACTTGTCGATTCTTTAGACATTGAAGTGGCAAATAATCTGCTCTTGTTGCTGATTTTCATGTTTCTCCATAAGACAGACTCTAGTTACCAAATGTTTGGTAAAATCCATGCAACATCACTCTGTTAAATATCAATACAACTACTATAATGACTACATGAGAACAGAAAGGTGTCGGTTATCAGAGGCTTAAAAACCCAGGAGTGAAGTAGGGGCAAACGCTTTGGCCGAAAAAAAAGAGCAGGGGTAGTCTCAACATAAAGCAATTAACAAAGAACACATTGGATGTTTACAACACAAGTAACTATAAAAGTAATAAGCAGTACGATGTAACCCTCCAAGAATGGCATCAAGCGAAAATGGTAGAAAACATATAGTGTCAAATGGCATCAACTCTGACAAGAAAAAAAAAATGGCATCAAGTAACTATAAAAGTAACTATAATCAGTACGATGTAATCCTCCAAGAATGGCAGTCAAATGGCATCGACTCTGACAAGAAAAAAAAAATGGCATCAAGTAACTATAAAAGTAACTATAATCAGTACGATGTAATCCTCCAAGAATGGCATCAAGCGAAAATGGTAGAAAACATATAGCGTCAATAGCAGAATAGACAATCTAAATTAGACAAAAGAAAGCTACTTGATAAACCTGATTAATTTGTTGAAATACATAAAAGAAAAGGAAAACAACAAAGTACCAATCTTTCCGGGACCTTGGGATTTGGATTGCAGTCATCTTCAAGTTCGAAATCACTATGAAGTGGCTGAATCCTCAGCTAATTCTATGGCATTCCCTACTTATCAGAACCAGCTAAAGTCGGATTGGATATCTTTTTCTAAGGAATTTTGCATTGAAGAAAAGCAACTAGTCATAAGATGATTTCCTCTCTTATGCAGAAATTAATTTCTTCATGCTAAAGAGGCAAGACAACCCATAGCAGAGCAAGACTAGGGTTGGTAGTATCTAATCTACACCTTGGTCTACCATCCACTTCGCTATGGAAGAGTCTAAACAAAGTTCCAAGTCATAAAACTTAAAGACTTTAGTTAGATACATCTACTAATGCCTGCCGTACTTCTATGATTTCGTCACTTATTTCCACAGGAAAAGAGCTAAAAAGTTGTTAGAGCACCAAAATAGCAAAGATATAGCAGAAAAACAGAGACAACGATGTTAATGTTCCACAAGAATAATCAAGTCGATTGAAGCCGGAGCGAGCCACATACATATAGGCAACTAGAAAAATGTGATCTTTGCAGATCTCAGCTTTTGCGTGATTGACATCAAAGAAGATGATTATCAAAAGAGTAGCACAACAGTGGAGGGGCAGATCCAGTTGACTCCTGACTCCATGGGTAAATCCAATTAGTCTATAAGCTACTTTCTTTATGAAAGGAAAGTGAAAATAGTCATGTCTCATTCATAGCACCTTTCTAGTCCATTTGACACAGATATTTAAGGTATGACCTCGTCGGCAAAAGCAGGGTCGAAGGTGGGTTTTCATTCAACATCAGTATCGATATCTGTAAGAAACTTGTGTCTGTCCGCTCCTAACAAGATATGCATATGCCGCGCATCAGCTCAACCGAGAATTATCAGCAAACTTTAACCGAAGAAAAATCTTCCAAGTTACACAATTGAATTATCAGGCAAAAAACTATGGCTATTCTCATTGTTAGCTCTAATGAGTACCGCATCACAAATTCTCAATCGAGCCATTGTTGCTTTGCTGCTTCGCGCATAAGCAAAAGCAACCACCGATCTGATTTCCCATCGCAGCAACAAAACCACTCATAAAAATGCACTCTTTAGGGTTTACACTGTGCAATGTCAGCTTCAACGCACCCAACCATGAATCTACACCCAAAATTTATAATTCCCAAGCAGCAAACGCTGTCTATCGAATCGCTCCAGCCAACACAACCCGTCACCAGACATCGAAACCGAGAACAAACGCAACCAAGAGAACACACAAAACGATTCCACGAGCAGTCAAAAGCCCCACTTCCACACGAACAACGAACCCCAAAAAACAAGGAGCCACAGAATCGACGAGCAAAGAAGCGAAAACGAGGAGGAGAAGGGGTTTAGGTCAAACAGCGACGCACGTAGATGTTGAGCTGACGCATGAAGCTGGAGAAGTTGGAGTGCTTGAAGTAGTGGGGGAGCAATTGGAGGGTGAACTGAGTGATGTCCCAGATGACGAAGGTGTCGCCGGCGCTCCCCCACGAGATGATGGGGTCGGCCGCCTCGTCCTCGACCATCTCGTAGCACTTGCTGAGGAAGGGAGCCAGCGGGGCCCCTCGGTCGCCGCCGCCGCCGCCGCCCGGCTTCACCATGTCGCCGCGCCGCCGGAGAGAATCGGGAACCGCCGGGATGCGGGCGGGGGGAGGGTGTGTGGGGTGTGGGGGGGGTGGGGGGGAAGGATTCAGAGAGGGAACAGCGGCAGCGACGGCACGGGAATTCCCTGTTTTTTGATTCTTGTCTTGTCCGCGAGTTCTTTGTGTCGCTCGGTCTGGGGTTTGATTAACGTTGGGATGGGAGGAGATATTTTGGGACAAATACAGTATCCAATAACGTGCAAGTCTACCACGTGCGGGCCTTTGTGCTCCGTTTCGGAGAACGACGGGATGAATGTACGAGGGAGAGGAGTCGAGAAGTGCGGAATTGAGGGAAGTGCATTTTGGCTTTCTTTTTTTTTTTTTTGAGAAAAAACCACCAAAAATCTCAAACTTTGTCATCTGTGACACATTTACCCCGAACTTTTTTTTGTGACACCAAAAATCCCGAACTTTGCTTTTTGTGACACATTTACCCAAATGTATTTAGTCCATGGGCATTTTCGTCTTTTTTGCTTTTTCTTTTGTTTTTTTTTTTTTTTTTCCTTCCGTGAGGGGCCTCGCCGGATCCAGCGAGGCCCCCTCGCCGGCGTCCGGCGAGGGGGCCTCGCCGGATCAGCGAGGGCCGCCCTCGCTCGACGCCGGCGAGGCCGCCCTCGCTCGGCGCCGGCGAGGCCGCCTCGCTCGGACGCCGGCGAGGCCGCCCTCGCTCGACGCCGGCGAGGGCCGCCTCGCTCGCGCCGGCGAGGGCCGCCCTCGCCGGCGATGTTCGCCCTCGCACGGGCGAGCGAGGGCGGCCCTCGCCGACTCGAGGTGAGGTCGACCCTCGCCGGCGTCGGGCTAGGGTCGACCTCGCTGAGTCGGGCGAGGCCGCCCTCGCTCGCCCGGGCGAGGGCGGACCTCGCCTAACGCCCGATCTGGCGAGGTCGACCCTCGCGGCGCCGAGCGAGGGCGGACCTCGCCGCAGCCGGCGAGGGTCGCCTCCGCGGCGAGCGAGGGCGGCCCTCGCCCAGGGCTTAGGCGGAGGTCGACCCTCGCCCGACGCCGGCGAGGGTCGACCTCGCTGAGTCGGGCGAGGGCCGCCCTCGCCGGATCTGGCGAGCCGCCGCTCGCTCGACGCCGGCGAGGGCCCCCCTCGCCGGATCCGGCAATGGGCAGCCCTCGCCCGACGCTGGCGAGGCCCCCCCTCACCGGAAAGGAAAAAAAAAGAAAAAGCAAAAAAGACGAAAATGCCCATGGACTAAATACATTGGGGTAAATGTGTCACAAAAAGCAAATTTCGGGGTTTTTTGTGTCACAAAAAAAAGTTTGGGGTAAATGTGTCACAGATGGCAAAGTTTGGGGTTTTTGGTGGTTTTTGCCCTTTTTTTATGGTTAATATCACGAAAAGTTCCAAGCTGGTATATCTGTGAAAATTTTATTTTGAACTATTTTTTTTATTACCAAAAATCCCAAACTGGTACATCTGTGATAATTCTATCCTAAACTAATTTTTTGACCACCAAAAATCCCAAACTTGTACACTTGTGATAATTTTACCCCGAACTAATTTTTTGACCACTAAAAACTCCAAACTAGTACATTTGTAATAAATTTACCCTCCGTTAGTGTCCGTTAAATTGGATTAATATCACGAAAAATCACAAATTGATAAACTTGTGATAAATAGAAGGGTAAAACCCCAAATTGGTACACCTGTTAACCACGTGTCATTAAACTTAGCAATTTGATAATAAAATTTAACGGAAATTAACGGATGGTAAATTTGTCATAAGTATACCAGTTTGGGGTTTTTTGTGGTAAAAAAATAATTTGGGGTAAAATTATTATAGGTGTATCAGTTTGGGATTTTTTGTAATCAAAAAAATAATTTATGATAAATTTATCACAGATGTACCAATTTAAGATTTTCGTGATATTAACCCTTTTTAGCTACTCCCGATTTCTTTGGTTTTTCATTCGTCCGAAAAGATTCTTGGAATAAGGAAAAACCCCGAATAAAAGTCTCAAGTGGGAGAAAAAATATTATGTGGTTTGCGGGCGCCACGTCATCAGCCGAGGCAGCAAGCATTTCTTTTGAATAAACCACTCACAATTTGACACAAATGTAGAAAAAAAAAAAACTTAAAACAACTGTCTTTTTTATGTATATCTCTCTTCCTTCTCCATCTAGCCATCGCTTTGCCCAAGCTCTGCGCTTTCCTCGGGTGTCGCCACCGGCGGAGTCGCCTGCGCCACGTCTAGGTCCACCACCGCCTCCGTTGTCTTCGTGGTCGGCTCCGTCTTCCGGAACATGACCTATGTTACGCTGTTTTTCATTTTGCATTTTGAGTTGTCAGTGCAGCTCGTCACGGCGGCTCGTCCATGGCATCCCAGCCTCGCCGCCAAGACTCGAGGCCATTGATGAGCTGCCGTTGCCAAATCTGAAGGCATGGCTCCAGATTTAGAAGTTTGGCTCTATTTGTGGTATCGCAGATTTTGTGGTCGGCCTCGTCAAGGTCATGCCAAATCTGGAAGTTTTCGACTCTATCTTGTATCGCAGTCTCTGGTCAGCTTCGTCAAGGGTTGCGGTCATCGCAGCGGCCTCCATCAAGCTAAGCCATTCCCTCCATTTTTTCCGTCAAGCTCGCGGTCTCCATTGATATCGCCAAAGGCTAGATTAGGAGGCATGAGGCAGGTGCGACAATAAGGGCAGAGGGAGAAAACTCGCGATGGGCATGGCGGTCACAGTGCGGCACTGGGGCGTCGAGGATGGAGGTTGCGGCGGCTTGTGCAATGAAGATGGGTGAGTTGGATTCTCAAGTGGCTGGGCAAACGGTGGTTGGATGGAGGAGGTAGGCAAAGAAAAACAAAAATTTTACTTTTTTTTTATTTAAGACGTGTCAAATTAGAAGTAGTTTATTCAAAAAAATGCTCACCACGTCAGCCAGCGATATGATACTCGCAAACCACTGAATATTTTCTCCTCAAGTGGGGTGATTTTTTCAAAATATGGTTTAATGTAAATATTGTTTCAAATAAGGGCTTGAAATGGCTAAGTCAGTCTCAAATAAAGGCTTAGCTCACCAACTAGCCATAATGGTATTGGCATTTTCGTCAGAGGAATTTTTTTCCTTGTTTTATTTTTATCTTTTTCTTTCTTCTATTCTCTCTTTTTCTTCTTCCTTTTTACACATTGGCCCTGGCCGACTTCCTCCGCGACCCCCTCCACGTCTTCGTTGGGTCGGCACTCACAAAGACGTCGAAAAGCTTCTCTATGACTATAATCTCGATATCACCAACACGGTGGACCTGAGGGCCTAGCTATGAGGGAGCTGGGGAGTGGGCTGAAGACGTTGGCGACACATCTTAGAGAGGTGGATCGAGAATCCAACTTGGTCTTGACGAGTCGAAGGCACAACCCATGGCTGACGAGTGTGTCGCTCAGTTTTCATACCTGGACAGCTACCGTTCACACAAAGTATTTGATTGGTAATGGCAATTGTATTTCCATGTGGCATAACAATTGGCATCATTTCGGTATGTCATTTTCTGTCTTCCCTCATAGGGTCAAATATGACTCTTGTTTTAGTGTACATGTAAGGGTGTGTTCGGTTGTAAGGGAGGATGCACTTGTTAATATGTGGGGCTGGCTTATGCAATGCTACTATACCTTGCTCTGAAGTTGAGGATGCATCCTTTGGGTGTGTCATTTGTTGTCTTCCCTCATAGGGTCAAATATGACTCTTGTTTTAATGTACATGCAAGGGTGTGTTCAGTTGTAAGGGAAAGCACACTTGTTGATATTTAGGGCTGGCTTATGGGATGCTATTATACCTTGCTCTGAAGCTGAGGATGAATCCTTTGAGTATGTCATATGTTGTCTTCCCTCGTAGGGTCAAATATGACTCTTGTTTCAGTGTACATGCAGGGGTGTGTTCAGTTGTAAGGGAGAACGCATTTGGTAATACTCGGGGCTGGCTTATGCAATGCTACTATACCTTGCTCTGAGGCTGAGGATTTTGTGGTGTTTACTGGATCTTCTAACGGTGATATCTCGTCTAGTGATTGCCGGAATCTACTTAGAATGAGGAAGCTGAAGGTTACTTGGCATAATTTGGAGTAGTTTTATTCAAATGTGCCAAGTTTTGGCTTTATAGCTTTAGCTTTTGAATCAAGATCACCTTTGTTTTTTTATTGCGAAGACAGTCTCGAATCATTTTCTTTGTCTTACTGGTGTTCATCTTGCTATCAGAGATTGGAATTCGCCTTTTAGGTTCATCTCTTCAGCTTTTGTACCGGATCTTGAGTATTAATTTTATAAGATGAACACACACATATATATATCTTCCTTCTGTGGCTTCAACCAAATCACTCACGTCATTTGACAAAAAAAAAATCGCGCATGTCCACAAAAGCACGAACTCCACTATCTACTGGTTTAGAACTCTCTATTTTAGGAAGACATAACAATGAGGTGAAGCTCATGGATACAGATGAGACTCGAGAATGAGACATTTCGGAGTATATTAACCTCTAAGATTGGAAATAAAAATCACTTCCAGGATACATCAAATGTGTATCCACGGATTTAGAAATTCGGAAATCATTGAACAACGATTACAACAAAAGATTTATCTCGAAATTAGAGTCGAATTAGTTTGATGGATAAACTCTTTTTGTAAACTGGAGCCCATTGTCGGTCGGTCGCCGTTGTTCGCCATCCCACCAGACCTACATGCTCATCAACCATGGGTAGTCCCATCAACTTGTCAAGACTGCTTTGGATACTCGATCTATCTCCCTAAGACCTGCCTCGCCAACTTTTTCAGCCCGGCGCTCCTCAGCTTCTCCCGACCTAGCTCCCTCACGGCCAAGGGCCCTCAGGTCCACCACGCTGTTGATGTCGAGTAGTCACAGAGAAGCTTCTCGACGTCTTCATGGATGCCGACCCCGACAAAGACGTGGCAAGGTCAGGGAGGAAGACGGCCTAGGACTTGGCCGTTATCAGTTAGTGTGTAGAGGAAGAGAACAAAGAGAGAATAGATGAAAGAAAAAGAAAAAGAAATAAGGAAAAAAAATGCCCATGTCATTGTGGCTAGGTGGTGAGATATGCCCATGTTTGAGACCTAGTCGACCAATTTAGGCACTTATTTGAAATAAAGTTCATTACATACCATTTTTTTAGAAAATGACTCCACTTCAAACTCTTATTTGGAATTTTCCCTTGGAATTATTATATGATGCATCCTATTTTATAAACCCCCCTTCCTTTTTTTATCACTTTATTTCTCTGTCTCTGTTTTATTAAGTTAATTTAAAAGTTAACATATAAGTAAGGTTCAACGTATATTCTTCTTCATAAATCTAATCAATTTGTATTCGATATATCCAATTTAGTTAAACTTTTTTTTATCACTCGGAATTTAAATTTTCTTTAAATTCATATATGGAAGTAAGATAAATACTGCGCGTGGTCGTAATGTTTAATTATAATGAAGTAACGAATTCTTGCTATATATATGTCCACCCATTAGAGAATTAACATACTAACCCGATTGGAATCATATTCTTTTGCCTTGTTATTTTAATCTATCACTTACTATGTGTGAACCTCTTTATACTTTACAAGCATTGTATAGTGAGCAGAGATAGTGTCTGGTATTATTTATAATATATAGAGTTATATATGTTCTACTTTGTGACCTCTAAGAAATGATTAGCTTCATTATATTTCTCAAGTTAAACTATAAAGTATGTGGTGCTTTCATCGTTACGTTTATGGTAACTTAAAATTAAGTGAAACATGCTAACAAAAGATTTTTTATGCTCAATATTTTTCTAATATCACGTGCAGACTCTGAGTAAGGTTTTTGATGCTCGATGTTAGTGATATTATGATATTTACTTGATTCTACGTATATCTAAAATTATAGTGCATATCCTTAATTGATTATATTTGATATTGTGTTTATCTTATTACTTTATATAGTTATTTAATAAAACCTATAAATAGGCTCTTCATGTACTGCTTTCTATACGCCGAATTATACAGAAATTCAATCTTCCGCATTATTTCACAACTCCCGATACCTAACCAATATTTGGGCACGTGACGACCTTTTAGCCCAATTTCAGGGTTCGATCTTGGCATTAGAGAGAAAAGATCTGGGCTTATAGTTTCGACAAGGACCGATCCAATGCATTCCAGGTCCATCCTTAACAGTACATTAAATGGGTTCAAGTACTTTAGCATCAGCATGTAGCAAATTAGACAGCGAAAAAGCATAGCAAGGCGAATCAAAAAGAGTTGATTATTGCTTTTGTTATGTGCACACTTTACGACTCTTTCTAACAGCAACACCATGAGGGAAAATCATCAGTTAAAGCAGGGGGTGTTGCGGTATGCCTTTAAAAGAGAAGTTAATGCAGAAATGTTTCGGTTTCTTGGTAGTAACATGGACAGCCATAACTTAACTTATTCAACGGAAGGCGATCCCAGATTAATGATAAATTCAAAGAAGTAACCGATCTGATGAGCATTAGAGGCGCTCGGACGTGGGGAAGAAGAAGGTGTATCAGATTGAGTTCTCTCTGAACTCAGCATTTCATTGCTTCGAGGCAGACATTGGTGCTTTCGTGGTGTAGAATTCTCGGCTTGTTCGAGTGCTTCACCGGTTGTCCTGTTCCTCCAGTGATGGCTGAAAGTGTCATCAAGACTCTTCTCCATAGCGAAGCTCTCCAGCAGGTGTCGATTTTTTTGCCATTTCCTTGTCTCTTTAATCGTGTTTTTCTTATGAATATATATCATACTGTCAATTTCTTGGGATGTCAGAACAACTACAACACGAAACCTGGACAATTCTTTTCATTTGCTAATAATTTTTGGTAACGGATCGACCATGTAAAGAGCTTGTACGTTACCCCCTACCCATGTGGAAATGAATTGAGAATCTTATTCCAAATTTTGATCTTTTCCAAGGTTCGAGTGAGTAGACAATGACTTGAGAATGGATCTGTTGTAACGTTTTTGGTTCATATTTCTTTTTTCTTTTTTCTTTTTTTTAACTGGCTCATGAGATTTGTATATTATTTCATGGGCCTTTCAAAATACTGGAGATCTGTGATAATAACCTTCGAATATATAGAAAAAAAACAAATGCCAATGTTTTATTTTTGTGCATGGATGAATAATAGATCGCACATTCAATATTTGCCCTTAATATATGATGATATTGCACATTTGAGTAGATCTTAAACTGTTGTAACGTATATGCGACAGTACATCTTGGACACAAATGTGTACCCGAGGGAGCATGAACTCCTCAAGCAACTCCGAACAACTACGTTTGAGAAGTATGGCCACCGGTAAGTATCTCTACTCCTCGAGCAAATCATTATTCAAGTTATAATATATGTATTAAACTGAATTTGGATTATCGAAAATGATGGATTTCACGTAAATCTCATGTGGCTCTCATCAAATTTGACAATCCAAATTCAATTTTGGGTGCGTTCGTTTCGCGGAAATGAGTGATTTGGAAAACATTTTCCAAAAAATGATTGTTTATGTCGTTTAGAAAAATTAGTCAACGGAAAATATTTTCATTATCGATAACAATCTATGCCTACATATTTTCATGGGTGATGAAAAAATTTTCCATTCATTTATTTTTCTATAGGATATAAGTGATCATTTTTTGGAAAATATTTTTCAAATTACTCATTTTCCATGCAAACGCTCCCTTAGTACATATATAATGTCCGGTTCATTTGATAAATTTTTCAGTTAATATCACCACGACTTGATGTGGAATTGTCCAAGATGATCTCTTTCTACTCTTGTGCTAAGGTTATAGTAACTTCGCTAACACTTTAGACGAGATTTAGTGTGCAAAACCGATGAAGATTGTACTATTATGTCGTAGAATATGTGCATGAAATGCATGTGTATGAGTCTAGTAGATGAATAATGAGATCTCTTCGGGGTTTATACAGATGTGAACTGAGCGTCCCCGGCGATGAAGGAATGTTCTTATCAATGCTTCTGAAAATGATCAACGCGAAGAAGACGTTGGAGATCGGTGTTTTCACGGGGTACTCTCTTCTAACCACTGCCCTCGCATTGCCTAATGACGGCGAGGTATGTGCTACGCCACCGCCATTTGGGGCACACCGATTCCAATTGACGTCGAGACTTCTTTTGTTTCTTTATTTAATGAATTACCGAATCTAGTTGAGTTTCTATGATCATGTGAGAAATTAATATAACTCTCTCTTGTTTGAGTTGGGACAAATTTGTTTCTTAAATTATAAGGAAAGATATTGCCTGTCTTTCTGAAGGTAACAGCCATAGACTTGGACCGAGAAGCGTATGAAGTTGGATTGCCGTTCATTGAAAAAGCTGGTGTGGCTCACAAGGTCAACTTCATCCAATCAGACGCCCTCTCAGTTCTAGACCGGATGCTAAGTCAAAAGGTATTTACTGCATAAAACCAACACTCAAATTCATTGATTTTATTATCTTCCCGAGCCGGAAAACAGCCAATGCAGACAAATTGTCGAATCCATTCGCAGGTGTGCGGGCAAGGCCAAGCAGAGGAGTTCGACTTTGTGTTCGTGGACGCCGACAAGTCTGACTATCGCGGCTACCACGAGCGCGTGATGAGGCTCCTCAGAATCGGGGGCGTTGTTGCGTACGACAACACATTGTGGTATGGCTCTGTGGCCAAGGGCCAGGAGGAGCTGCCTGAGTTCCTCAGGAGCCGGGCAATGGAGGGCGTCGGCAGCTACTTCTACAAAGGCCACACCGCGGTTGTCGAGTTCAATGAGTTCTTAGCTTCCGACCCGCGAGTCGACATCTCTCAGGTCCCCATCGGAGATGGACTCACCTTGTGTAGGCGCCTGCAGTAGTGGAACTTAATGCAGTGGAAGCTCCGGTTACCCGTTCTAGATCCGGGACTTGTTCGAGCTACCATCGATGCATGGACTGATCTGTTACAGAGTGGACTCATTGGATTTTTTGTGAATTTATATCATGCAAAATAACTTCGAATGAGCAGTTCATCGAACTCGTGGAAGGAAATTGAATTTTAAAATGGCAGTCCGATTTTATCTTTTTACCTAGCCCGAGCCATGGATGTGTTTCATGCATGGTACCAACATACATGGATCAGCTGCATCAAATTTGACAACTTTCTGGTTAGCATCCATTCGCAAAGAAGCTCGACTTGTCTTTTTCATATATTGATGTTTATTAGTAGACCCGTTAAAAAGTTAGGTCAAATCGAAAATGGTCCGACCCAAATTGATCCATTTAAATCCGATGCAAAATTAGCAACTCATACTGACCCAACCCAAATCAATGTTTAGTAACTTTTCTTCTTTAATTGTCGCTTTTTGAAAAATGGTTGGCCCCATAGACCGACTTATCAAGTTATCGAGAGAGCTCAGGAGTCGGGTTACGGACTGGGGACGCGAAGATGGTGGCAAAAATCCGGGCGGTCCGGCCCATCGTCATGCGTAGTTTGAGAATGAGAAGCATTGTGAGCCCATGTGCCCTAGACGAATCTTATGCACAAAGCTTGAGGCAACATCGAGCTCCATAATAGAGCTTGAGGCAACAACGGAAATTTTGTAATTATCTAATTAATAATCTTTCATGTTTGGATAATAAAGCGTCGATATATTGTTTTTCATAGCACGTCCCAATCGTGGGGTTAGCTAAGGAAAACGTAGATCCTCTACTCCGTTAGCACCCTCCTTAGTGTTTTAATAAATCTCGACCATGATTCGTAGAACATTGTGTTGTTATCGATGTTTGAGATTGCCGCACCTAAGGAAGCACCGTGCAAAGTAGAGAATCTTCATCCAACTAAAGAATTGATGATTTTTGGTCCAGTCTTCATTTTTTTTTTATTTTAGAAATAAAGATAACAATAAAAGAAATACGTTAATATTTATCATGACGCGTGGAGCATGTTCCCACCATGCATATGATGAAAAACGGAAAATAAATTCAGGACAAGGCCCGAGTCTAGCATTTAGAAATGAAATTGACGAGCTTGCGTAGTCTTATTTATTTCATATTTACCTCCATTTAAATTAATAATTACAAGAAGAGAAGCCTATGCAAATGAACAAGGCAGTACAGCTATTGTCATGCTGAGCTTCTAAGTACCTCCTGCGCAAGGATCTTCTTACATCACGAAAGGAGACAAAATTAAGACCATAATCCTGACCTACTTATTAAATGGGTTTATAACAGACCCCATTAAAACCCACGTGATATGGACTTTTAATTTTAAAATCCTTTATAACCCATTTTTTTAATTTGACATGAGTCGTTTATGACCTATTTAAATAAATATGGGTTAGAATACGGATTCATGACTCGTTTTGATCATCCTACTTATCAGGGCCATATTTTTCCCTATCTTTAACCAAAAAAAATAAGGCCTTTGATTGATGGGTAACGGGGCATGCACGTCACTCTCGAAGAAACTTAATCAATAAAAGGCACATCACCAAAAAATTAAACCCAAAACCACACTCTTGTATGGCTTTCGGAGGAGACTCAAAAGGACGCGGAGCGGTGCTAACTCGAATCTAAAATCTTAAACAAAGGAAGACAACGCGCTTATCATGATGAGCCGTCGGGTTTCTTCTTCTTTTTATCCGATGCTTTGTATCGAGCCCGACGGAGCAATTGGCACTGTGATTTTCCATCACCACGCACCTTTTTACACAGGACCTACAAGAATAGAAGAAGAACAGTGGGGGGTCATTTCACACTTCCACAGCCAAATCTATTTGTCGGTTCGTCCCTCTCTTTTCTCACCTCCGTTCCTCCAAATGGATGTCGCCATCGTATCTACATTGGACAGCGATCCACTAAAATCGAAGGGAACGCAATCATCATCATGACATTTGGACAATAAGATTTCGAGATTTCTCATCGACTCAAGCACGCTGCTACCCGAAAACGCCGAGGCAAAACAAAACCCCATCATCATCGCTTTTATCTGGACAATTCTCCACGCCGATTTTAATAATGAGGGCATGGAGATTTCCTCTCGCATTAGCTTTGGCAAGAGCCAAATCGAATCTTTCTACTATCCATCCACCCATGATGCGGGTGGGACTCAGATTCACACGCTCTCGAATGGCTCCACAAACAGTAGTCCTACATGTAATCCAGTCAAATGGGGATTAAGGAGCACAAAAGGGTTTCTTAACATGGTGTTGTTGGTGGCCATAAGCAGTCCAACATGTAATCAAGGAGCCGCAGCTTTTGGTCTCTTGTTCATCATTCTCGAGTCCGAATAGCCTTGGAGACACGTCTTGATAATAAAAGTGCCTACAAATTTTGACTTTGGCTAATCTCGCGAATGTACCGAAGCTCCGTATCATTTATGCACATCGAATTTGAGAGCATTTGAAAAGAAAAAAAGAGAGACCACTCGAAAGTAAGTGGATGATCGATTGCAGATTACGTGGTAGATCATTTAGTTCACTACTTACAAATTTAGTGCGAGACCACACTAAGCCAATTATCGGGACTAAAAGGGGCGTACACTATTATCTTTTGGCGCTTCCGATGGCCACCCAAGATTCCTTCGACATCTTATGATTGATTTTCAAATGGTTTTGTTATCGTTACTGTGAGTGGACGAATGTCAAACACACAACTACAAAAAAAGTGTCTTGTTCATCATTCATGAGTTCGAATAGCCTTGGTGACACATCTCGAGATAACAAATGTGCCTACAAATTTTGACTTACGTTAATCTCGCAAATGTACCGAAACTTTGTATCATTCATGTACATCGAATTGAGACCATTTGAAGAAAAAAAAAAAGCCCATTCGAAAGTAAGAGGATGATCTATCATAGATTACGTGGTTGATCATTCAGCTTACTATTTGCAAATTCAGTACGAGACCACCTAAGCCAATTATCGAGACTAAAAAAGGCGAGTGCTATTATCTTTTGGCGCTTCCGATGGCCACCCAAGATTCCTTCGACATCTTATGATCGATTTTTAGATGGCTTTTTTTGTCGTTATTGTGAGTGGGAAGAATGTCAAACACACGACTACAAAAAGTCGTGTACCATTAGCGATTAAATAGGTTGAACCGAATATATAAAGAAGACAGCCATTTCCATGCGATCCATTGCTCAATCGTTGGGGAATCATCGTGACTCTCAAAAAATAGAAAAAAGGTTAGACACGAGGGATGTCACTACCCTAATGTCAAGATTCATGTGGACCGTGCCGATAAAGTCTAGTAGATATATTAAAGTGGACTAGAACTACATTGATGTTGCAAGCATTATTTGTCTGTTTTGATAATTCAATTCATGTGTTGTTGAGGTTCTATCGTCGCACTAAACTCATGTTGTGGACTCACAACTTAATTAGTTGGAATCGAGATGTACGCGTGCTAATTAGTAAAAAAATTTATCAACATACTAAAGAAACTCAACAATGAAAACATGCGTGCATTATGGGTGCGTTTGTTTGAGGGAAAATGTTTTCCGAGAATCTGTTTTCCAGACTTTTACCCGTTTGGTTCGTTAAAAATGATAAGTCAACTGAAAATACTTTCCGATCAAAGAAAATATTCATGTATAAAATTAGGAAAGTGAATTTCTTAATCTAAGAAGGTGAAAACACTTTCCGAAATTACTTATCTTAAATTTGTTAATATTTTTTTCTTTTCTTTTTCTTTTCTTAATACAAATAATTTAAAAATAACAAATAATTTTAAAAATATAAATTTTTTTGATAAATTTCATCATCAGATTTTCCTCACCAAACAATTGAAAATACTTTTCAAGTCTTTTTTAGGTTTTAGCCAAACACCGAAAAATAAACTCGTTTTCCTAGAAAATGACTTCTTGGAAAGTATTTTTCAAAAATGCTATATTTTCCGCGAAGCAAACATACCCTACTTTGTTGACAATCTTGTGCAAGTATACAAATAATTACAAACTAGATCTTGAGCATGCGCAACGCTCACATGCTCTTTTGTGTGCAATAATAAAGGGGAAACTACATAAAATCCCTTAAAAATTTGGGGTTGTCCATGTTTGTCTCCCTAACTTCCAACTGTGTCATAAAACTTTCGAGAGACGTTCTATAAAGATAGCCCAGTTTATTATAGTTTGAAAAACCTCTTGCAACTCTTCTTTTTTACTATAAATGACGGAATCGTTCATGGCGATATACGAAATACAATCAACATGAAAATGCCATAAAAAATGCGATGTCACAATATTTTCTTTTATACATGTCGAGACGATACATGTCAAAATGATGGAAAAGAAAGAATAAGTTTTACATACCCCCAATTTGTCAACTTCCTTGAAAATGATACAAAGAAAGCTGTCTTTATCGATAGGAGAAAAACTACCCTCTAATGAATTGTATCATTGTTGGTATAAGCTTTCATTTTGTTACAATCAATAACTCATCGTCACTTTTCTCGTTAACATATACATCGCACGTGATTTTTTAAGGGCAAAAGCATATTTTTTTCTCGTTAGCATATGCATCGCATGTGACTTTTAAAGGGTAAAAGCATATTTATATTTCATTTTTTAAGGAACTCTCTCTTTTTACCTTTAATTGCTGTTAAAGAAAAGAAAATTATAGACATGTGAGAAATATTAACTAAGGTCCAAGTAATAGAAAAAATATAAAAAAATAATAGGAAAAATAAATATCAATAATAATGTCCAACAATAAAAATTTGCTAATATTTGATAAAATATAGCTAGTTTAATAGAACTGAATAAAATATTTTTAAGAAAATAAATAAACACAAATTAGATTAAAAAAAGGGAAAAGGTCTAAATAACAAAAAAGATCAAATGATAACAATGGGTAACTCATTATAAAGTGTCAATGAATGTAAAGTAGATTGATTAACAAAAATACTTAAAAGAATTATAAAAGGAAATGATCTTCTCAACTTATAACAGAAATCAGGGAAAATTACCAAAAAGGTCTTCAACATATCGTACGACGGCCAATAATATCTTAAATCTTTCAATTTTGCCAATTTAGTCATAAACCTTTAGATGATTT